GATTGCCTGAGAAGCCACTATTTCAAGCATCTATAGTGCATGGCCTTCTATTCCGTAGAGTATTGTGTGAGAAGACCCATGAGTTATGGTTTGATTATAAAATATTACTAGTTTTCTTCGGCCTTCGTGAGTTCGCCATAATGACTGGACTCAAATGTGGACATTTTTACGTGAATTCGAAGCTTCAAAAGTACCTTCTTGATGGTGAAGAGTTGTGGAAACTTATTGCCAAAGGAAAAAGGTTTGTTACTGGTAAAATAGCGTTTGAGTTGATCAAATTTGAACCTAAAAAAATAAAAAAAATACAAGTATGCAATATGCTTAATTTGGTTTGTCCACTGCATTTTATTGGCAGAGTATTCGAACTGTAGTGTGTTCGAAACTTCAGTCAGATTGGCCTCCACAGGAGAGACTTTCTTCAATTATCCATGGGGCCAAAATAGTTTCCGGTTGACCGTTGATTATCTTATGAAAGATATGAAAGAGCGCCAACAATCTAAGGGTGACTCGTATAACCTCTACGAATTTTCTTTGGCTTTCACACTAACTAAATAATCTTGTTCATTACTTCTATTTTAGTGTTATTTATAAAATTTTCAATTTACTTTTTTATCACATAATGTAGGCTTGGGCATTTGAAGCCATACTTCAATTGCGGCCAAAAGACTATCCAGAAGAGAGGACATTGCCGAGGATGAAGATGTGGCTATTTAAAAAAATAGAAATGACAGGTCTGATCTATTTCAAATCAAAGATCGTCCGGTAAGGCTCATTCTGATAGATGTTTAATGTTTGAAATATTTTTCAAACATTAGATGTTTGAAACATCTCCACAGGATGTTTGAAATATCCACAAGATGCTTGAACATCCACATGATGGCTGAAACATCTTTCAAACAACCTGTGGATGTTTTTTTAAATATTCCGCAGAAAGTATTTTAAACATTAAGCATGCCTCGAATATTTTTTGCTTATAATTATTTTTGTTATCTTCCTAGATAGTACACCCTTTTCTTTACCCTACAAAGGCTGCAAAGATGGAGTCTTACATCCAAATCTTGTTATCTTATCTGACAAAGAGGACATGATGATAGATAACCCAAGTAAAGAGTTGGATGGAGTGACAACCTTAAGGCATTTGTGTGGTGCCCTTAAAATAGAGAAGGGTAGTTTGCAAACCCCACAAGTTGGAGATAGTCATGTGGTTGGAGGAGAAGCTGTTGATGACGATGATGGTGATGTTGGAATACACTTTAATGATGATAATGGCAGGGGGAGGGTTCTAATTATGATGATGGCAGAGGAGCTGCTTCTATGAAAAAAAGGGTGATGAAATAAAAGATCGTGTTGTTACAAGTACATCTAGTATGCATTGTCCTTGCATATGCCCTGATTGTCACGAAAAGGAAAAGGAGCAAATAAAGTGGAGGGATGACATGCAGCGTCAGTTGAACATTATGAATGATAAGTTGAACTCTATGCAGAAGACAATGGATGACTTGGTTCAAAAGCTATCAAAGAGACATGTGGTTCTTCCCCGAGCTATTCAGGATCCTTACACTGAAAAAAAAGCAACAAAAAGAGGAAGAAAACTGGAAAGGAAGAAACTCCATAGTAGTTAGTGAGGAGAGGCTGAAAGTTGATATTTACAAACCGATTGACTGGAGAGGAGAAATGCCCTACATGACATTTTTCAAAAATAGGGGGCCTCAAATACAATTCACATGAGGGATGTTCAATTATGAAGACTTTAAGAACATTCAAGATTCTCAATTTTGGTTGGAGGATAAGGTACCTATTCATAACCCTTTCATCTTGATTTGATTTTTTACTTTCCAGTTTGAAACATGCTCTAGGATTATTGTGTATTGTTTGATCCATAATAAGATTAGTCTTTGCAAGTTCAATGTTCAAAATTTTCTGTATCTCTATGAGAAAGTTTTAGGCAGAAGTGTTGCCTCTCTGTAGTATCATGGAACAAGAACCAGATACATTTCTCTTGAATTAAACTAATATTTCATTGTTTCACTTGCTCCAGTGTAAGATGTTCCGCAAGATGTTTGAAACATCCTGTAAGATGTTTGAAATATCCTAATGGATCTGTGGCGGATGTTTATGGATGTTTGATGTTTAATACTAGTATGTGAATTAATAATTTAGTTATTTTGATCCTGCATCACATGGAGGATTTCTTGGCCCTTATGCGTATTAGACACAGAAGGTATCCCAAGTAGTATGATCAAGCAGATATCATCCTGGATTGTAATTTTCTTTATATCTTAAAGGAACACTATAGTACTCTGTGTGATGGGATGGACAAGGTGAATGCTTCTCATCTCTTCCCATGGACAAGGTGAATGGATCTGGAAGAGATGGAGCAGCATTCACCTTGTCCACCCCATCACAAAGAGTACAACAATGTTCCTTTAAGATATAAAAAAAATTACAATCCAGGATGATATCTGCTTGATCATAGTGCTTGGGGTACCTTCTGTGTCTAATACGTATAAGGGCCAAGAAATCCTCCATGTCCTGTAGGATCAAAATAATTAAATTACTAATCCACATACTAGTATTAAACATCAAACATCCGTAAACATCAGTCACAGATCCATTAGGATATTTCAAACATCTTACAGAACATCTTACACTGGAGCAAGTGAAATAGTGAAACATTAGTTTAATTCAAGGGAGTATCTGGTTCTTGTTTCATGATACTACAGACAGGCAACACTTCTGCCTAAAACTAATAAAGATACAAAAAAGCTTGAACATTGAACTTGCAAAGGCTAATCTTATTGTGGGTCAAATAATTCAGCAAACCATATACAATTAATCCTAGAGGATGTTTCAAACTCGGAAGTAAAAATCAAATCAAGGTGAAAGGGTTATGAATATGTACCTTATCCTCCAGCAAAAATTGAGAATCTTGAATGTTCTTAAAGTCTTCATAATTGAACATTCCCTATGTGAATTGTATTTGAGACCCCCTATTTTTGATAAATGTCATGAGGGCATTTCTCCTCTCCCGTCAATCGGTTTATAAATATCAACTTTTAGCCTCTCCTCACTGACTGCTATGGAGGTTTCTTCCTTTCCAGTTTTCTTACTCTTTTTGTTTATTTTTGTCCTTCAGTGTAAGGATCCCGAATAGCTCGGGAAGAACCATAGGTCTCTTTGATAGCTTTTGAACCAAGTCATCCATTGTATTCTGCATAGAGTTCAACTGATCATTTATAAGGTTCAACTGACGCTGCATGTCATCCCTCCGCTTTATTTGCTCCTTTTCCTGACAATCAGGGCATATGCAAGGACAATGGATACTAGATGGTACCCGTAACAACACGATCTTTTATTTCATCACCCTTTTTTCCCCATAGAAGCAGCTCCTCTGCCATCATCATAATTAGAACCCTCCCCCTGCCATTATCATCATTAAAGTGCATTCCACCATCACCATCATCGTCATCAACAGCTTCTCCTCCCATTTTACTATCTCCACCAATAGATTTTTCTGTTCTATCATCATATCCTCTAACCACATGGCTATCTCCAACTTGTGGGCACCATCCAAATGCCTTAAGACTGTCACTCCATCCAACTCTTTACTTATGTTATCTATCATCATGTCCTCTTTGTCAGATAAGATAACAAGATTTTGAATGTAAAGCTTCATCTTTTCAGCCTTTGTAGGGTAAAGAAAAGGGTACACTACTTAGGAAGATAATAAAAAAATTATAAGCAAAAAATATTAGAGGCATGCTTGATGTATAAAATACTTTCTGTAGAATTTAAAAAAATATCCACATGTTGTTTGAAAGATGTTTCAGCCATCATGTGGATGTTTCAATGTCCTGTAGATGATTTTTGAAAGATGTTTCAAATATCCTGTGGATATTTCAAACATCTAATGTTTTCAAGATATTTCAAACATTAAACATCTATTAGAATGAGCCTTACTAGACGATCTTTGATTTGAAATGGATCATGCCCGTCTTTTTCTACTTTTTCAAATAGCCACCTCTTTATCATCGACAATGTCCTTTTTTTTGGATAGTCTTTTGGCCTCAATTGAGGTATGGCTTCAAATGCCAAAGCCTACATTGTGTGATAAAAAAGTAAATAAAAAATTATATAAATAACACTAAAATAGAAGTAATGGACAAGATTTATTTAGTTACCATGAAAGCCCAATGAAATCCGTAGAGTTTATACGAGTCACCCTTAGATTGTTGAGCTCCTTCATATCTTTCATAAGATAATCAACAGTCAACCGGAAACTATTTCGGCCATATGGATAATTGTAGAAAGCCTCTTCTGTGGAGGCCAATCTGATTGTAGTTTCGGACACACCACATTTCGAATCCTTTGTCAATAAAATATAGTGGACAAACCAAATCAAGCATAATGCAAACTCGTATTTTTTTTTATTTTTTTGGGTTTAGATTTGATCAACTCAAACACCATTTTACCAGTCACAGACCTTTTTCCTTTGACAATAAATTTCCACAACTCTTACCCATCAAGAAGGTAGTTTTGAAGTTTCGAATTCGTCTAAGAATGTCCATAGTTGAGTCCAGTCATTATGGCGAACTCACTAAGGCCGAAGCGAACTGGTAATCTTTTATAATCAAACCATAACTCCCGGGCTTTCTCACACAATACTCTACAGAGTAGAAGACCATGCACAATAGACTTGAAATAGTGGCCTCTCAGGCAAATCCAAAAAGTGCCCGCAAGGACTACTCCTAAGCTTGTTTTCGAGGCCCTCATCCTGCAACAACTTTCGGAACTCACCCATACCTGCTAATCCTAATGAGGATCTCACAGTGATCTTCTTGTTGAAAGTGTCATTATCATCTAAAAATGTCTTGTACTTTAAGGGTGGAAGTTCCGATCGAAGCTTTAAGATTTTAACCTCGCAACTGTCAGACTCATCCCCAACCATCTCATCCTGTACATGATTTAAAGGTGTTGATTAATCAAAAACACAAGAATAATTAATTTTATAATTAAAAAGATCTCTTTATAGTCATGTTTAGTGAAACATACTATGAAATATTTCAAACCAGAAAGAAACTTTAAACATCCAGAGAGATATTTCAAACATCCAGAGAGATCCTCCTCCTCCTCCTCCTCCATCATCATCATCATCATCATCATCATCATCTTCTTCTTCTTCTTCTTCAGTATTTGCTACGATGCTTCATCATCAATATCTGTCTCCTCTTCTCTTTCATCAGTTGTTGTCTCCTCTTTTGATTCTTTTTCATCAACATTTGTCTTTTCTTCTCTTACTTTTCTTGTTTCCTCTTCTTCTTCCTTTTCTGTTTCCTCTTCTTTTTCTTTCTCTGTTTCCGCTTCTCTAGCATTCCCTCCTATTACATTCTCTGTTTCCTCTTTATTTTCTTTCTCAATTTGCTCTTCATTTTCGTTCTCTTTTTCTTCTTCTCCATCATTCCCTCCTTCTACTACCTGAAGAGGTTTGGCTTCCACTTCAGCTACAATTGATTTTTGTAGCTCATCCTCCTGAGATGTCTTAATTCTTTTGCTAGATTTTTTGGAAGGAGATTTATCTCTTCCTCTTCCACCTCTCTTTGACACAGGTCCCTTTGCCATTTTTTCTGCACACACAAACAAGTAACGACCATCAACAAAATAAATAAATAATTTGTTCCTAACACATAAAAAAAGTAAAACTATAAATATTTAAGTATTCTTTGGTGAAACATCTCAGTGAGATGTTTGAAGCATCATATAAGATGTTTCAAACATCTCTAAAGGTGCTGCATTGAATGGTCATACAAGATTGAGCTTTAGAGGTAAAATCAATTTTCTGCCGTCTACAAATACTAAGCAAGATATAGTAATTTAAGTTTCTAGCTAGTTAGATGGAGTTTGAAAGCAAGCTAGCAATGTTAGTATTATAGTTCTCCAAACTTCTTTATCTATACCTCTCTATCAATAATTTTTTAATCGCTAAATAATCAACCATCTCAGTGTGATAATCATGTATCTTTTGGTGAAACATCTCATGGATTGTTAAACATTCTTACAGATGTTTCAAACATCTTATGTGAAGTTTCAAACACTCAGCTCAAAATATCATTAACCAAACCGAGATAAACATTTCAATAACTTCACAACATATAACAACAATAGTAATACAAATATTTAACAATATCTTGAGATGTTTCAAACACTCAACATGTTTAAAATATCTGGCAAAAAGTGTTCCACAAACTTAAATAGAGCAATATAGCTGTTTCAACATCACAACAACTAATTTTATGGGCATGTGAAACAACCACATCAACGGCTACAATTAAACAACATAAAAATATCAAATTTTCGATCAAAAATATCAACTACACAACTCTAGAATTTAGGCACAAAAACTACACAACAACAAGAAGATACATAAAAAAAAAAATTTTAATTTAGGGTTGATATATCATGTTTAATGTTATCAATATGGTAGAAAAAGGAAAAAAATACTTACCTTGATGATGGAATCTCGACTTCAAAGCAAATTTGAACGGAATGAAGCCGATTTTTATAGCCCTATAGTTCTCTTGAGTTTGAAGGTTGAATTTGTGAGAAAAGTTAGAAGAAAATCGTATGTGGTTTAGAATAGAAAAGAAAGAGACAAGTTGGAAAATCGTGTCTTATTAGGAGATGGTTTTATTTTTATTTTTTAGTATTTTAAATTTTACCCCAAACTTTTTTTATTTTTAATTTGACCCAAATTTGTTAATAAAAAAGGGAGTCCCATATACTTTGCACAATGCTTAGAGATGGTTTTAAACACATTTTTCCAAGAGGCTCGGAAACGCCAAATACGAGAACGTGTGTATATTCAGTGTATCATATTCAGTTCTGTCGCTATCTATCATGTGACATATTGCCCCTACCACCTACAACCACATTCCTATATCTCTCCGAAATCCGAAGCACCTCTCAGATTTTCTCACAGTCTAATTTGTAACAAAAGTGAAGTATCATGGGAGAGGTTGATGAATCATTTTTTCAAGAAACTTCACACAGGCCAAAACTCTGCACAATTGAAGCAGAAAACATACCCTTAATTGATCTCTCTCCAGTTCTAACCTCTGACCCCTCCAACACTTCTTCAGCAATTACAAATCTTGTAACAGAAATTGGTGATGCGTGCAAGAACTGGGGTTTTTTTCAAGTGATAAACCATGGAGTTCCCTCAACATGCCGTGAAAATATAGAGAAAGCATCAAGGGGATTTTTCTTGCAGCCCACTGAGGAGAAGAGGAAAGTGAGCAGAGATAAAGATAATCCTATGGGTTTTTATGATACAGAGCATACTAAAAATGTTAGGGATTGGAAAGAAGTGTTTGATTTTGTTGTGGAGAATCCAACTATCTTACCTGCTTCACATGAACCTGGTGATATGGAACTCAAGGAGCTGGTCAATCAATGGCCTCAATTTCCTACTGGTTCCAGGTTCCTATTAACCTTTTCCTCATTAAGTTAATTTGTCTGTTGGGTGCTTTCCCTCAGTTGGGTGGCGCTTTAATGTTGTAAGTGGGAACCATAGTGCTAAGGCATGTCGATGAATTCAATCAATAAAAGAACATCACTAGACTATAAATATATATCTATAGTTGTTGGAACATATATTTAAGAATGATAACAGTGGAAAATCTTGTGTTAAATCAATTGCAAATAGTAGTGGAATAATAACAGTGAAAAATCCTGGGTTAAATCAATTACAAATAGTAGCATCAAGAGTGGTTAGAGGTAGTCGTTGGGAATGATCTAGCACAAATACATTTCCTGGGCGACTAAGTCGGCCACAAAGGTTTCCGAAAAATTGGTTAATTGGTTTCTGAAGTCAATAGCAGTGTTATCAAAGGCGCGCGTAAGCCTTGATTCCTGAAGCGAGGCTCAAAACATGTTGAACGTTTCACCTCGCTTAGCGGGCGCTTCAATGTTGTCATCAAGGCTTTAAGGTATACTTTTCCTTGCCAATAAGCATAATCCTGAAGAGGCGACACCAAACAATTGATATTTTACTTTTATCGTAAATTTTCTTCAATTTCTTTGTCCATATATTTGGTATTCATGCTTTTAGATGTTAGTCTTGGACCACACATACAGATTTGTAGTTTTTCCCCATTTCCGCTTTTCTTCATTAAAGCCCACGCTTTATTTGCGCTTTACGCTTAAAGCCCAACAAACCTTAGAGCTTTTTTGCGCGTTTCGCCTTTAGTAACACTAGTCAATAGCTGCGGTATTAGTTTCAGAAATGATACATCTTACCTTCAGAAAAACTGAAAGGAAAAGAATGAGGATCACCAGGTAGAGCCAACTAGAGTCTTGTCATTATAATTTGCTAGATGCCCTTGGACTCTATCTTTGCTTGATTACACACAAAAAAAAAACCCGGTGCACTAAGCTCCCGCTATGCGCGGGGTCCGTGGGAGGGCCGAACCACAAGGGTCTATTGTACGCAGCCTTACCCTGCATTTCTGCAAGAGGCTGTTTTCACGGCTCGAACCCGTGACCTCCTGGTCACATGGCAGCAACTTTGCTTGATTACAAAAATTGTACTATATTCGGGGGAGGCTGCCAATACTCTAGCTTGATTATAAATTTCTACTACTGGCCCGGGTGCTTCACTATTTGGCCAACGGGTTTGGTCCCTCACTGCCTTTCAACTTTTATCACATGAACAATTGTAGAAAATAATATATTTATACTAAGTACACAAAAGTTGTCACAAATGAGTTAGTGGATGCAACAATATTCTGCACTTACTTAAAGTTCTGGCTCGGTACAGGGAGGCATGTGAAGAATACGCTCGAGGTATTGAGAAACTCTCCTACAAGTTGCTAGAACTTATTGCTCTAAGCTTAGGCCTATCATCTAAAAGGCTTAATAGCTACTTTGAGGACCAAACAAGTTTTATGCGATTAAATTACTATCCTCTGTGCCCGATTCATCATCTGGCTTTGGGGGTTGGCCGGCACAAGGATTCAGGCGCCCTGACTGTCCTTGCTCAAGATGATGTTGGTGGCCTCGAGGTGAAACGTAAGACAGATGGAGAATGGATACAAGTTAAACCAACTCCAGATGCTTATATCATCAATGTTGGTGACATAGTTCAGGTATGACTTTTGTATCATGCTGCTTATTTATTGACAGAAAAGCGAAAAACTTCCATTGAGCCAATACCATTTTCTTGGTTGACTGGAAATGAAAAGTTTTCACAGGTTTGGAGCAATGATCAATATGAAAGTGTGGAACATAGGGTGGTAGCAAGCTCCAAGAAAGAGAGATTTTCTATTCCTTTTTTCTTCAACCCATCTCACTATGTAATGGTTGAGCCTCTAGAAGAACTGACAAGTGAAGAAAGCCCTGTAAAATACAAGGCTTACAACTGGGGCAAGTTTAACACTACAAGAAACCTCAGTAATTTCAAGAAACTTAATGTTGAGAACATTCAAATATATCATTTTAGAATCCATAACATGTAATGACAAATATAGTCTATGAGAAATTTTGTACTATATTAAGCTGTCGTTCTCAGCTGGAAAGAAATAAAATGGTACATCTTGCTCTTGTAAATGGTTTTCTTAATTTACTATCCTTGAGTCATTAATGAGAATTACAAGTTAATTGATTTGCCTACACCTGTGAAAGGTACAATTACCTACTTTCATTATTTATTAATCTAAAGTTATTGTTATCATTTTCTCCATCATGTCCTACTTTAGAAATGTAGTATCTATAGTAGTGGGAACAGAAACAGTACTAAAATTAGCATCAATAATGCAACAGCATGAAAACAAAATCAAACCAACCTTCCAATAAAAAAATTGTAGCAGGGAAGAAATTATATTTATGACGCAGCCCTTCAAGATGTAGGCTTCAGTCATTGTTACAACTATAAAACCTCAGCAACCTCAATCTATTGTATGACAAAGCGCTTTCCAGTGTCCAAAATCTATTACACCTCTCTGATTGTGATCCTCAAAGAAAAACTCAGTACCTACCAAATAATTCAGCCATGGGAGAAGTTGACTCAGCTTTCATCCAAGATGTTGAACACAGGCCTAAATTGACCATAACTGAAGCAGAGGGTATTCCAGTGATTGATCTCTCAATACTCAACTCTCCAGATATCTCCACTGAGAAAAATCACAAGGAATTGTCAAGTCTAGTAGCAGAAATAGGTGATGCATGCAAGACATGGGGATTCTTCCAAGTGATCAATCATGGGGTGTCCTTAGAGTACAGGGAAAAGATTGAGTTGGGATCAAGAAAGTTCTTTGCTTTGTCTAAGGAGGAAAAGAGAAAAGTGAAGAGAGATGAGCTGAACTCAATGGGATATTATGATACTGAGCTCACCAAAAATGTTAGGGACTGGAAAGAAGTCTTTGATTTTACTGTGGAGAATCCAACTGTTGTACCGCTTTCTCATGACCCTGATGACAAGGAGCTCAAGGGGTTGCACAATCAATGGCCTGAGTACCCTCCAGAATTAAGGTACTCGATATTCTATTTTTAAACCCACAATTTAGTAAAGAGAAAATTTCCAAATTTAGCTCTGTAATATACAAAATATCTTAATTTTATCCTTGTTATACTATGAGCTCATCATATCCTCGCAGTTAGTAAATCGTCTTGTATTTGCCGTTGACTCTTACAGAGCTCCAACTTGAAGTATTAAACCATAGTCCAAACTTAGAGGGGGAAATTTGTACCTTTTCCCTGAGTATTTTGACCCTTAGAATCTACCCAATCTATGTTGGAGCTTTGTTAGTGTAAGGGGCAAAAACAAGACGACATGAGCATCCAAAAGGTATGACGAAGAATAAAATTAAGATATTTCGTATGGTAGAGGGGCAAAACTGGAGCATCTCTCTTTAATAAAGCACGAAGCTGAGCAAGATTGATTTATATTTGTCTTTTCAGGGATGTTTGTGAAAAGTATGTTCAAGAAATGCAAAAGCTGTGTTACAAGTTACTGGAACTGATTTCTCTCAGCTTAGACTTGCCAGCAAAAAGGTTGAATGGGTTCTTTAAAGACCAAACTAGTTTCGCGAGGCTGAATCATTATCCTCCTTGCCCTATCCCTCATTTGGCTTTAGGAGTTGGTAGACACAAAGATGCTGGTGCACTAACTATTCTGGCTCAAGATTATATAGGAGGGCTTGAAGTAAAGAGACAAACTGATGGAGAATGGATTAGAGTCAAACCTACTCCTGATGCTTACATTATAAATGTTGGTGACGCTATCCAGGTATTCTTATCAAAGAATTCAGTAGAAGAACAGATAAATTGTATTATTGATATATAATTGGTGTATGATCACAATGCTTGTTCAGGTTTGGAGCAACAATGAATATGAGAGCGTGGAACACCGGGTGGTGGTGAACTCTGAGAAGGAAAGGTTTTCAATTCCGTTCTTCCTCAATCCATCACACTATACTTGGATAGGACCCTTGGAGGAGCTCGTCAATGAGAAGAACCCTGCAAAATATAAGGCCTATAACTGGGGAATGCTTTTCACTCATCGGAAGAACAGCAATTTCAAGAAGCGTGATGATGAAAACCTTGAAATTCACCATTTCAAGGCTTGAAACAAATCAATATTGTGTTTACCCATATTATGGCTTCTTCAAGTAAACGTGTCATGTGATATAAATAACAAACTAGTGCAAAGATCCTTTTTTATTTTCTAAAATTGGGGTAACTAATAGATTACCTGTTTTTCATCTGACTATTTGTAATGAAAACACTGAATCTCCTATAAGAGTACCCCCAGCTATAACTCATACTAGAGGAAATGTGAGAGAGAGAATTGGAGTAAAAGACAATGTATTTATTTTCATCTCATCTTAGATTCTAAAGGTTGATGTGTATATATCATGGGAAGATGCACTTCTGCAGCCCCATTGTCGTTGGCTTATTGTTATGAACAAGTCTCAGCTCAATGTGGATACCTGCAAACAAGCAGCTATTGGGCCGAGAAATAGGACCAAAAGACCTTCACAAAGATTGAGTTGGGATCCAGGCCCAATTAGCAACTATTTAAAAAGGACTAGCGGGTAGAACGAAGGGGGTATGTAAATTATGTTGAAGCCTCGGCTTAGTCTGTTCTTCTCATCTCCTCTGCTGAACCTGTTCCTCATCCCCTTTCTTCTTAGCTTTAGGTCGTAATTTCTCTTTTCATCTGCTCTCTATTTCCTTTAGTGTTGTTTTCTACTATTGTATTGCTATTTGGTTATTGTAGTTCCGTTTATTGAGTTTATATAATCAGTTAGTTTGGGTGTAATATCGGGTTTGTTACATTGGTGCTTTCATCCAGAGGTCTTCGATGGAGGACCAAATATGTCGAACTAACGATCCAATTACGGTCATGATGGCTGAAATTCGTACAATGTTACATGAGTTGGTGGGAAACGTTGAAACGAGCAAGCCTACTCGTCTGGAATTCCGACGATTTTGTGGCAAGAATCCAGAATTATGGATTTCTCAGGCTGAACGATACTTTAAATTCTATGGAATTTCAGAAAACACCAAGTTACTTTTCGCCTCGTCCTATCTCGATGGAGAAGCTTTGAAGTGGAACCAATGGCTTTTCTAGAACAAACAATTGGCAAATTGGGAACATTTTACTGAGAAAGTGTTGATTCGCTTCCGTAAACGGCGTCTCGAGCCACCGAAAGGTCAGTTGGTTGCAATCAGGGAATATTCCACAAAGATCGACGCCCAGATGTTCGACAAAATGTCATATGGCTATTGTTCCAAGGTGTTTGATACTGATCAATCTGATGTTAAAGTCATTAGTGATACAACGACATCAACTTTGAACATTGCAAAATCAGAGGAGGTCCATGTGTTTGATGGAAGCTCTCATAGGAGCAAATCTGAATCAGTATCCACTTTTGAAATTGGACAATCAGTAGATGACAACTCTTCCATTACAACAGCTAACCCAAGCATTCTCGATCTTCTGATTCGTATGGCTGATGTAGAAAATTCAACCACGACCATTGACAAGGTGATCAATGACAATTTTCGCGAGAGTGATAGCTTACTCCAGCCTAGCTGTGATGCCTTGCAAACTGAGGTGACTGCTGCAACATTCGACAATACTATCGGTATTTCTTTGGACTTTGTTCCCATGACTTCCTTAGTGGTTTCAATTGGTTACAGTCAGCATGTAACTCCATCGTTGGTATCTAAACATGAAGAAGAGGGAAATGCGCGAAACAATGTAGCTCGGGAGTTTGAAAATTCTCCTATAGAGGATAAAACAAGTTATCGGATTCCTTTTGCTAGTCAAGGATCTGTCGTGTCAAATGCTATTGGTAGATTTGTTGGAATAGCATATCCATTTATTGGGGCTTCTCAAAATATATTGTGGCGTCACTATGATTTTGGCTTACACAAATACAATTGGGTTGCTACTGGACAACATGATTCCCTGTTATTGACTGCAAAACGAAGAAAGGGCTATCATATATATTCAGAGCATAGCACTGATGCAAGCGATACTGGCTTACCAATTTGTAGTTATGTGGACAAGTGGTTTGACACTGGACATGAATTTAAGGTTGCTTCAGGTAGAGTTGAAATAGGTGTTGAACATAATGGTAGAGTTATCAATTCTACAATATACAAGCTATGGGGAGAGTCTATAGCAAATTTATTTGTATGTTCTTTTGATGATGCTACTACTCAAATTGAGGAGCAATACCTAATTGATCAGCTGAGGTCTTTTTATAGTGGAAGGGCTCTTGAGCTAAGTGAGTTATACCAAGCTTTAACTTTCACAATGGCACTTTGGGTTAATGAAACTGTTATCATTAGAGATGAACCTCTACAGGGTGTTGCTGCAATTACAAGGAAGCCTCCACTAGGGATTAATTCTATATTCTCTATTCCCCGTGACATGGCCATGTTTGATATTCACGGAAAGATGATGTTGAATGCAAGTATGAGAACTACTGAAGTTGAATATCCATTTGATGGTGCCTTATGTCTTCGCACAATTCCATTTTTGCGTAATTCCCTTGAAGTAATTCTTGTGGATAAACAAATTGGCGTGTCGCTTTCTCTTGAATTTAGTGACCACAACTGTAATTGGGTTGACATGGGGCAGGAGCGCAATCTTTTTGAATTCTGGTTATCTAAATCAAGAAAGCGTGCTAGGGAGAAGAAAATACGGGGAATGCTCCGGGCATTTGCTGAAGATTACTCCAAGCAGTATATTGTCTTTGATCCTGGTCCTTATCTTGATTATGCCGCACCCAATACAGTGGAATCTACTTTTGAAGATGAAAAATCTACTGATGTGGGCGCTCTGAAAGTACGATTTGCACTTCTACATGAGAAGTTTCGTATTGGTCAAGTACTTCCTCTGCAAAGTGGCATCACTTTAGATGATTGCCATAGATTTAAGACTTATGACTGTTGTCATATAGGGGCATGCACATATTACCATTTGGAGTCTGATGTCGTACTATCGATTGTTCTATTTTGTACTTCTTTGGACAATTGGCTCGACACTGGGCAGAATAAATTAGGTTTTGCGTCTATTGCGAAAGAACATCTAAATATTGCATCAGATGCAGTAGAAATGTTGGATCCCAACTCAATCTGGATGTTTCAAATGTCCTGTAGATGATTTTTGAAAGATGTTTCAAATATCCTGTAGATGTTTCAAACATCTAATGTTTTCAAGATATTTCAAACATTAAACATCTATTAGAATGAGCCTTACTAGACGATCTTTGATTTGAAATGGATCATGCCCGTCTTTTTCTACTTTTTCAAATAGCCACCTCTTTATCATCGACAATGTCCTTTCTTTTGGATAGTCTTTTGGCCTCAATTGAGGTATGACTTCAAATGCCAAAGCCTACATTGTGGAATAAAAAAGTAAATAAAAAATTATATAAATAACACTAAAATAGAAGTAATGCACAAGATTTATTTAGCTACCATGAAAGCCCAATGAAATCCGTAGAGTTTATACGAGTCACCCTTAGATTGTTGAGCTCCTTCATATCTTTCATAAGATAATCAACAGTCAACCGGAAACTATTTCGGCCATATGGATAATTGTAGAAAGCCTCTTCTGTGGAGGCCAATCTAATTGTAGTTTCGGACACACCACAGTTCGAATCCTTTGTCAATAAAATATAGTGGACAAACCAAATCAAGCATAATGCATACTCGTATTTTTTTATTTTTTTGGGTTCAGATTTGATCAACTCAAACACCATTTTACCAGTCACAGACCTTTTTCCTTTGACAACAAATTTCCACAACTCTTACCCATCAAGAAAATAGTTTTGAAGTTTCGAATTCGTGTAGGAATGTCCATAGTTGAGTCCAGTCATTATGGCGAACTCACTAAGGCCGAAGCGAACTGGTAATCTTTTATAATCAAACCATAACTCCTGGGCTTTCTCACACGATACTCTACAGAGTAGAAGGCCATGCACTATAGATGCTTGAAATAGTGGCCTCTCAGGCAAATCCAAAAAGTGCCCGCAAGGACTACTCCTAAACTTGTTTTCGAGGCCCTCATCCTACAACAACTTTCGGAACTCACCCATACCTGCTAATCCTAACGAGGATCTCACAGTAATCTTCTTGTTGAAGGTGTCATTATCATCTAAAAATATCTTGTACTTTAAGGGTGAAAGTTCCGATCGAAGCTTTAAGATTTTAACCTCGCAACTGTCAGACTCATCCTCAACCATCTCATCCTGTACATGATTTAAAGGTGTTGATTAATCAAAAACACAAGAATAATTAATTTTATAATTAAAAAGATCTCTTTATAGCCATGTTTAATGAAACATCCTATGAAATATTTCAAACCAGAAAGAAACTTTAAACATCCAGAGAGATGTTTCAAACATCCAGAGAGATGTTTGAAACATATTAAGCTTACCTAAATAGATTTAGAAGGTGCATTATCATTCTTTCTCTTTTTTTTTTCTGCCGCTGCCTCTTTTTCTTCTTCTTCTCCTCCTCCTCCTCCTGCTCCTCTTCTATCATCATCATCATCATCATCATCATCATCATCATCATCATCATCTTCTTCTTCTTCTTCTTCTTCTTCTTCTTCTTCTTCTTCTTCTTCTTCTTCTTCTTCTTCTTCTTCTCTTGAAGCTTCTTCTTCAGTATTTGCTACGATGCTTCATCATCAATATCTGTCTCCTCTTCTTTTTCATCAGTTGTTGTCTCCTCTTTTGATTCTTTTTCATCAACATTTGTCTTTTCTTCTCTTACTTTTCTTGTTTCCTCTTCTTCTTCCTTTTCTGTTTCCTCTTCTTTTTCTTTCTCTGTTTCCGCTTCTCTAGCATTCCCTCCTATTACATTCTCTGTTTCCTCTTTATTTTCTTTCTCAATTTGCTCTTCATTTTCGTTCTCTTTTTCTTCTTCTCCATCATTCCCTCCTTCTACTACCTGAAGAGGTTTGGCTTCCACTTCAGCTACAATTGATTTTTGTAGCTCATCCTCCTGAGATGTCTTAATTCTTTTGCTAGATTTTTTGAAAGGAGATTTATCTCTTCCTCTTCCACCTCTCTTTGACACACGTCCCTTTGCCATTTTTTCTGCACATACAAACAAGTAACGACCATCAACAAAATAAACAAATAATTTGTTCCTAACACATAAAAAAAGTAAAACTATAAATATTTAAGTATTCTTTGGTGAAACATCTCAGTGAGATGTTTGAAGCCTCGTATAAGATGTTTCAAACATCTCTAAAGGTGCTGCATTGAATGGTCATACAAGATTGAGCTTTAGAGGTAAAATCAATTTTCTGCCGTCTATAAATGCTAAGCAAGATATAGTAATTTAAGTTTCTAGCTAGTTAGATGGAGTTTGAAAGCAAGCTAGCAATGTTAGTATTACAGCTCTCCAAACTTCTTTATCTATACCTCTCTATCAATGATTTTTAATCGCTAAATAATCAACCATCTCAGTGTGATAATCATGTATCTTTTGGTGAAACATCTCATGGATTGTTAAGCATTCTTATTGAAAAGGACCTTCACACAGATTGAGTTGGGATCCAGGCCCAATTAGCAACTATTTAAAAAGGACTAGCGGGTAGAATGAAGGGGTATGTGAATTATGTTGAAGCCTCGGCTCAGTCTGTTCTTCTCATCTCCTCTGTTGAACCTGTTCCTCATCCCCTTTCTTCTTAGCTTTAGGTTGCAATTTCTCTTCTCATCTAGTCTCTATTTCCTTTAGTGTTGTTTTTTACTATGTATTGCTATTTGGTTTTTGTAATCCGTTTATTGAGTTAATATAATTAGTTGGCTTGGGTGTAATATTGGGTTTGTTACACTTATTGACCCAGTTTTAATGGATCTCAGAAGATTCAACAACTTGCTGGGATTCTTGATGGTGCAATTGGTACATTTAGTTGACTTGGTGAATGATTAAACTTCCAAGAAATACATTCAATAGAAAAGTCAAATTCCTGAAATAGTAGCCAACATGGGGTTGCTTCTGCATGGAAGTAAGTTAGCATAATCACAAACCAAACTCCTCGAATTGTAAAATTGCCTTGTAATAGTCATACTATGTGCTCATTCTTCAAAGAAGGAAAAGAAATATGGAGAAAAACAAGCTCCTTACAAGTCTTGTTCTAATACTTATGTTGCCATATGTAACTGCAACAACATCAGGGCCTAACTTGCCTAAAGCTAGCAAGCACTTTTGTGCTAATTCATGACGCTTACCGTGGAGCCTGGTTTTTGATGGGTTTACAGTACCTTAGCTTTATGTTTTGATGATGTAACAAACTTACTGTCAAAGAACCAGATAAGGAACCTGATATACTTGGTACACAACTCAAATCAACGGACTTAAGCTAATGTGAGTTGCTATGACTTCAGAAGATAAAGAATCAACATAGGGACCTGATCCTCTTGGGTTCCCCTGACAGCAGTACGAAGTCAACTGTCTACAGCTGGAAAGTGAACTGTCTGCACTGTACACGCAAACAGTGCAACACAGCACAACAGTTACTTCTCATTGACCAACCAAGTGATTGCATCATTCAAGTGATGTCATCCAAGTTGTATTAACAAAGAGCATTACAACAAAACATCACTTGAACACTTAAGAATTTATTCAAGCACTCCAAGCGTCTGACAATCAAGCATTCAATTCTCAAGGTGCATCAAGAACAAAGTACAACACTACTACGGACCAGTTCCTACAACAAGTATCTTGTATGTCCTAAGTTGAGTTGTAATTTTGTAATTGTTCTTCATTGTAATTCCTACTTTGCTTATCTAGAAGCTTTAATTAGGAACCCCTTGTAAATCATAAACCTTCAGTATTTGTGTCGTGACTAGAGTTAGTCATGAGTTGAAGTCTTTATAATAGGTGTATTGTAAAGTGGCTTGTAATAGGTGTATTACAAGTTAGTGATGGATTAAGAGTTTAATTCCTAGATTGCATAGGTTGTAATCTAAATTTTGCTCATAGTGAAGTTGAAATCCTAGCAGTGTAGGTCGTGGTTTTTTATCCCCTTGAGTAGGGATTTTTCCACGTAAAAGTTCCCTGTTCCATTTACTTACTGTTTCATTAGCATTATCTGTGAAAACCTATACAGGACCTGGTCTCTATATAGTTTGGTGGACTCATATATTCTATCACTCTTGGTACAAGATTATGGCGTTGTTGAGATCTTCAGGGATAATGTCACAGCTCTTTGACTTGGGTGCTTCAGGGATCAACCCAAACCAGGTTCTCGAAACCCCACATTTATCTGATTACTTCAGTCCGCTAATGGAGTTCATGGCTTCTCTTCCCGCACATGAAAAAGTGGTTTGGTGGAAACTCAACTTCAATTTATCCTTAATCTGTTTCTCTTTTCTCTTCTATTTTCACAGAAGGAAATAAATCCCTACTATATTGCTAGCTGCTACCTCATTTTGGATCCCCACCCCCTTGCTAATTTTGAACCATAATCAGTTTTTGTTGAGGAATAATTCTTGTGTTTTTTTACGATGTTTTAAAAGGCAAGATATAAGGCGAAGCGTTTTACCTAAGACAAGTCCGGACTTACCCCACGAATCTTTAAAAGTTTATTATTTCTAAATTTACTAAATGGAAAAAAAATGCAAACTACATTGTCATAAAATAAAAAATAATAGTATAAAGTTTTGAAATATTTAACATAAATTGTAAAAATTCTAGCATAACTATGAACAATAAAGTGTATAAGATATCATGATGCACGAATTACATGCACCGTCCTAATACCCCAAATATCAGAAGGAAAAAAAAATATTATCTTGGATAGAAAATGTCATATGTACCTCTTGAAAAGTAAATGAATTAAACGGAACTAGTTGTATCATAAAGTAGCCCCAATAGACCCTTTGAACGATTGGATAGAAGTCCGCCAGAAGAAGTGGAAGAAATTAAAGGATCAGCACATGTTTATGATGTCAAGCCTGTTGATAATTTTGTTCATTTTCTGCACATTGTCCAGAAATATTGTTAATTATATATAGGATGGAGCTTTTCCATTTTCTGTGAACCATATAAGTAATAACCCTAATAATAGTTAGTACTTCAAAATTGCCCTGTACTTTGATGTTAAATGGCTGTAATTTGATTGGACAATCTCCCTTTTTATCCTGCATAGTGTATCATTTATCTTTTGACAGACTTCTATCTTTTGTCAGGATTATATTTAATATTTTGTTATCATTTTCATTGGAACAGATAATTAGTCTATTTTTATAATCTCTAGCCTGATTAATTTAATTCTTTATTCCTCTTCCTCTAGATGACTTGGTGAATGCTTAGACTTGCAAGAAAACACATCCAATATAAAAATGAAATGCCCAATATAGCACCTAACATGGGGTTACTTCAGCATGAAAGAAAGTTACCAAAAGTCAAACTCCTTGAATTATAATTTCTCCTTTGTAATGGTTCATACTATGTGCTCATTCTTCAAAAAATAAGGAAAAAAAGCTATGGAGAAAAGCAAGTTTCTAACAAGTCTAGTTCTAATACTTCTGTTGTCATCTGTAAATGCAACAACATCAGGGCCTAAATGGCCTAAGGCGAGCAAGCATTTCGTGCTAGTTCACGGGGCTTGCCATGGAGCCTGGTCTTGGTACAAGATTATGGCGTCGTTAAAAACTTCAGGACATCATGTCACAGCTGTTGACTTAGGTGCTTCGGGGGTCAACCCGAAGCAGGTCCTTGAAATCCCACATTTATCGGATTACTTTAGTCCGCTGATGGATTTCATGGCTTCTCTTCCCGCGGATGAAAAAGTGATTCTTGTAGGTCATAGCCTTGGTGGATTTGCCATTTCTAAAGCCATGGAAAATTTTCCAGAAAAGATTTCAGTTGCTGTATTTGTCACTGCTCTAATGCCTGGTCCAACTCTCAATGCAACCACCATCTTTATTGAGGTACAATTCCTCCATATTGCCAACTTTATCCATGAGATGATCATCTGTCATGTTAGCTTACACTTTTTCATGTTTGAAAATTTTCGACTTCATTACAGTCATCAAAGGCAGCAATATCTGCACTTGATAATCGTGTTACATTCGATAATGGACGTACAAATCCTCCAACAACCTTCAGCTTTGGCCCGAAGTACTTGGCGAGTTATCTTTATCCACTGAGCCCAATTCAGGTAAGCTAAGCATAACAAAAATAATAAACTGAAATAGCTCAATACTGGTATTCTGATAATGAGAATGACCCTGAAGTGACTTGTTTCACAACATTAATGTGGAATCTTTTTTTTTCTTTATAATGTGGAACTTATAACTGTGTTTCATTTTTTCCCCTTTCTTGGTATTAGGACTGGGCACTGGCTACTACAGTAGTAAGGCCATTATATTTATACAGTTCGGATGATATATCAAAGGAGATAGTTGTTTCAAGCAAAAAGTATGGATCAGTTAAGCGAGTGTTCATTGTGGCTGCTGAAGATAAAGTTTTAACGAAGGAATTTCAACAGTTGATGATTGAAAAGAATCCACCAGATGAAGTGGAAGAGATTTCAGGCTCTGATCACATGGCTATGATGTCTAAGCCCCTTCAACTTTTTACTCTTCTTATGCGTATCGCCAACAAATGACAAGCTACCTTGATTACATATCCATGAATAACGCACAACTGAAATAAAATTAGATTACCCTTATTCTCACGCGTTAAAATGATGAATCAGTCTTTTGTTCATTGTATAAAGATTGTGTACACTGTTGTACATAAGCAAGTTCTTAATTCTTGGGCTTATCACTTGGCATTGGGGGTTCTGTGAAATGGTTCCTTCCTAATTACATCTCCATTACATGGCATTGACAAAATAATGCAACTTCTGCGAGACAAACTAATACATACTTCTAATAATTCCATCACAATAAGTTGCAATTATTTTCATCAGATCATAGATTCCAAAAGTTAATGTACATATGTCATGTTTGGCAATACAACTGGAGCCACAACTTAGTACTTACCTTTGACTTGCCGAGATGTCTAAGGAACAACATGGGATAAATAACCATGTACTCAAGATTATAACACGAGCTTTTTTAATGTCAAAATCTTACTTAAATTGGCAGATCATCGAAAGCTTTGCAGAAAAGATTTCAGTTGCTGCTTTTGTTACTGCAATGATGCCTGGTCCAACTCTGAACATTTCTACCCTCACGAAAGTGGTTAAGGTGTCTTTTCTTGAGTCATTCTATTTGCTGAACACACTTGGTTCTAATTTTATGCAAAGGACACCGAAATTGCAATGATTTGATGAGATTTAGTCAGCAGTTAGTTGACTTTGATATTTGTTAACTAACTGTTATTTAATGCAGCTAGAGCCTGAATACTTGTCTAATTTCTTCCTCTAGTTGACTTGATGAATGATAAAAAATACAGAAAAGATATTCTATATAAAATGCTCAACAAATAGTACTTGACGTAGGGTTGCTTATGCAGGGAAGTAAGTTAGAAGGTCAAACACAAGATTGCCTTATAATGGTTCATACTATGTGCTCAGAGTTCAAAAGAAGAGAAAAAAAGTTAAATGAAGAAAAGCAAGTTTCTAATAAGTTTACTACTGATACTTTTGTTGCCATATGTAAACTCAACAACATCAAGGCATAAATGGCCTAAAACAAGCAAGCACTTTGTTCTAGTTCATGGCGCGTGTCATGGAGCCTGGTCTTGGTACAAGATTATGGCGTTGATAAAAACTTCAGAGCATAATGTAACAGCTCTGGACTTGGGTGCTTCAGGGGTCAATCCAAAGCAGGTTCTTGAAATCCCACATTTATCGGATTACTTCAGTCCGCTAATGGAGTTCATGGCTTCTCTTCCTGCACATCAGAAAGTGATTCTCGTAGGACATAGCTACGGTGGGTTGGCCATATCTAAAGCCATGGAAAGCTTTCCAGAAAAGATTTTAGTTGCTGTATTTGTTACTGCTCATATGCCTGGTCTAACTCTAAATGCAACCACTCTCTTGACTAAGGTATAATTTTACCAACTTTTTCTTTGCTATGATCTCTTCTGTCAGCTAACATTTTTTCATGTTTGAAACTATTATCTAGTTACAGTCTTCTAGTGAAATGGTATCTCAACTTGATAATCGTGTAACATACAATAATGGACCCACCAATCCTCCAACGGCCTTCTTCTTCGGTCCAAAGTACTTGGCAAGAAATGTTTATCAGCAGAGCCCAATTCAGGTAAGGATAATAGTGAAATATCCAACCTTTGGTAGTCATGAGGATTGTCCTTATATTGCATGTTTTCGCCAAGTATTGTTAGTAGACATCCTCTACTCCAAAAACTAGCTCATTTACATTATGATTTATTCAAATGGACGCTAAGTTGTGTCTCTTTTTGGACTTTTGGTGTTAGGATTGGGTGCTGGCTACAACACTAGCAAGGCCACTTTATGTATACAGCAAGGAAGACATATCGAAAGAGATGGTTCTTTCAAACAAAAGTTATGGATCAGTTAGGCGAGTGTTCATTGTAGCTGCTGAAGATAAAACTCTACTGAAGGAATTCCAAGAGTGGATGATTGAAAAGAATCCACCCGACGAAGTGGAAGAAATCCCAGGCTCCGATCACATGGTCATGATGTCTAAGCCCCTTCATCTTTTTAATCTTCTTCTGCGCATTGCACAGAAGTAACAAGCTTCTTGATCCAGCTTGTGATTTCATATTAAAAAATAAAGCATTCTGAAATAAGAAGGGGAGCTTTGGCGTAACTGGTAAAGTTGCTGCCATGTGACCAGGAGGTCACGGGTTCGAGTCGTGGAAATAGCCTCTTGCAGAAATGCCTGCGTACAATAGACCCTTATGGCCCGGCCTTCCCCGGAGCTTAGTGCACCGGGTTGCTCTTTTAAAGCATTCTGAAATAAAATATAAAATTGCTCTTTTTCACTTGTGCAAAGATTGCTAAATCAGGTCTTTGGAAGATGGTGCCTTTTTAATGTTGAGTTTTATGGTGTGCTGTCAAAGTTCCCGAATTATTGACACTTACACATCTTTGGTTTTGAAGACAACTCCATTGACGAGCATAGCAAAATAAGAACTTCCAACTGTAATTCAACCACTTAAATATTACTAATAGTTCCAAGTAAGACAACATTATAAATTCTTGTCTGTTAAAATAACCTATTGATATAAAAGTAGGCTTTACATCCAAACAACTACACAAAGAGATTAGTAATGCTCAAAAACAATGCAATAGCAATCTGTGGAAGCATTTATGAGACAGTAATCCAAGGCGTAAAGTATCCTTGGAACAACCCAAACAAATAGCCAAATTCTTGTTTTCATTCTATTTGCTGAACATACTAGGTTTTCAATTTTATGAAAGGACACAACTCTGCAGTATTTGATGAGCTTTTAGCACTTTGTGCTTGTTTTTGTTATTTCCCTTTTGTAACTTTTTCTTCTACTCATTTATTTTGCATAGCATATGGGATATATGAAAGACTAATCAGTAGACAGCAGAAATCTATCTGTCTACAAGATCTCTAGCCTGAATAATTCAATTATTTATTCTTTATAAAGGTCAACTCCTCTAACTATAATAAGATCCTTTATCATCTTCAAACCATGTGTACAACTGCTCATAGTTCAAAAGAAGGGAAAAAAAGAGATATGGAGAAAAGCAAGTATCTGATAAGTTTTCTGCTGCTACTTATCTTGCCATATCTAAATGCAACAACATCAGGGACTAAATGGCCTAAAGCTAGCAAGCATTTCGTGCTAGTTCACGGGGTATGCCACGGAGCCTGGTCTTGGTACAAGCTTGTGGCATTGATGAGATCTTCGGGGCATAATGTCACAGCTCTTGACTTAGGTGCATCAGGGATCAACCCGAAACAGGTCCTTGAAATCCCACGATTATCTGATTACTTTAGTCCGCTAATGGTGTTCATGGCTTCTCTTCCCGCACATGAGAAAGTGGTCCTTGTAGGTCATAGCTTTGGTGGATTCGCCGTCTCTAAAGCCATGGAAAGCTTTCCAGAAAAGATTTCAGTTGCTGTATTCGTCACAGCTGGAATGCCTGGCCCAACTCTCAATGCAACCACTGTCTTCATAGAGGTATCATTTCGCCAACCTTAGCCTTAAGATGATTTCTTTCAATAGTATAACACTTTTTATGTTTCATATTTCATTACAGGCTTCTAGTGAAATAATATCTCAACTTGATAATCGTCTTATGTATGACAATGGACCCAACAATCCTCCAACAACCTTCATCTTCGGTCCAAAGTACTTGGCGAGTAATCTTTATCAGTTGAGCCCGATTCAGGTAAGCTAAGCATAATCAAGATATAAATGTGGAATAGCCGAGTTATGATTCACTGATTGTGAAAATGGCCTAAATGTGACATGTTTTCACAAATACTATCAGTCATTATTGCAGTTAATCAATTGAATATGCCTCAATCCTAAATGAGTGGAGTCAGCTATATGAATCTTCACATCAATTGATCAATCAACTATGCCTGATCGTGCATTTCGCTTTACTTGGGATCATTTCATTCTAATACTAAAGTTTGAGGTTACCTTTATCTCATTCTCATCCCTAAAAGGATATACAATCTCTAACTAGATTAATATGATTCCAGATGAATCTACATCATAAGGAACTCATCGAATTGTTTCTTTTATCTTTGGTTATAGGATTGGGCGCTGGCTACTACATTAGTAAGGCCAATATACTTAAACAGCCTAGAAGACATATCAAAGGAGATTGTTCTTTCAAGCAAAAGGTATGGATCAGTTAGGCGAGTGTTCGTCGTGGCTGCTGAAGATAAAGCTCTAACAAAGGAATTCCAGCAGAGTATGATTGAAAGAAATCCACCTGATGAAGTGAAAGAGATCTCAGGCTCTGATCACATGGTCATGATGTCTAAGCCCCTTAAACTATTTACTACTCTTCTGCAGATTGCCAACAAGTAACAAGATATATATCTTTATTAGCTTAACCCAACTTGTGATTACATGATATCAAGGATAAAAGCATTATTGCAATATACTTCAATATACAAGCAAGTTGCTCATCTTCTTATCTATTTTGAGGTTATCACTTCGCATCTACAACAACAACAACGATCCAGTGAAATTCCACTAGTAGGGTCTGGGGAGGGTAGTGAGTACGCAGACCTTACCTAAGGGATAGAGAGGTTATTTCCGAAAGACCATCAGTCCAAAAAATGCAATATCAATAAAAACCATGGAAAAAGAAAAAAAATAACAGCATAATAAGAACCAGAAAATAGATGGAAAGCACAACAATAACTAGTAGATAAAGCCCGGCACTAAGATGAAGGAAAAAATAGTGAGAACTCAACACTAACCTCAACTAGTCGTGAAGGCTATGCGTAAAATGAGTAGGGGCAAAGCTACCAGCCAAGACGAAAAATAGTGCCTCCCTTAGCACTTAGCATCTGGGGTTGAAAAATAGTGCCTCCCCATTACACGCGTTATTTACACCCGGTAGCCACTTTTGTGGCCATGTATTTAGAAATTGGTAAGTTTTTCAAAATTAGAGCAGTAGTCTGAATTTTAATTTTGATGTTTAAACTTCAGGCCAGGTAATTACTTTCAACTTCATACTACTGGTCTAATTTTGAAAAAGTGACCTTGTATTTATGTTTTAAAAGGCGGGGGCGTGAAGCGAGGCATAAGCCCTGAGACACGGGGCGTAAGTACCACGGATCTTTAAATTTTACTAATTTCAAGAATTTTAGAATAGTATAAAATAAAAAATAATTATAAAATTTACATTAAAATCACTAAATTTTAACAAATAACCTATTTAAAATATTTATAATTTATAATTCAACTATGAATAACAAGAAAAGTATGACATATATCATAATATGCAAATTAGCTGCAACGTAGTTACAACTCAAACATCAAAAGTAATGTATTTGATATGAAATCTTATATGTATCTCTCAAGGAGTAATGAATCTTGAAAGAATTTCGATATTATAATTTGATATTTTTCTTAAAATACTCCTTTTATTTAATATGCTTTCTATTTGAAAGAGAATGTATATAAAAACATAATTCACAATTTAAATATGATTCTTTAGCATCATTTATTTTTAAGTTTCAACAAGTTAATAAAGTGACATATAATTCACCATACAATACCATGATAACTAATTATTTGTAAATAGTTACTAGCTAATACTGAGATATTAAATTAATAAGTATTGTATCTCGTAAATGTGAAGAAAATAATATTTGGAAAAATAATTATAAAAAAATTATGGATTATTATATAGTAAAGACATAACAAAAGTTAATAAATAAATACTTTTTAAATGAAAGATTTATTTAAAATTAACTATCATAACAGTCTTAGTGGATAAGGTGCAATAATTTTTACTTTAATTATGATATAAAATACTCTCAACTTAATGATTTATGATTAAGAAAAAAGTAATTTTGAATAGTCAACGATTTATTAAGAAAATTTGAGGATTTACAAGGTTAGTTACATATAATTGCATAAAGTTCTTTAGGCGAGCCTAGTACGTTGGGCGTTGGGTGTGTCCGGGGCGTAAGCCCTGATGGCCGAGGTTTAAGTCTCACGGAACTAAGCCCAACACATAAGCCCAGGGGCGTTTTACGAGTGCTCCGCTCCGGGGCGAGCCCCAGGGGAATCTCAATTCTGCCTTTTAAAAGAGAAGTATTTAATCTTAAATAACCTCTACGACTATAAGAAGGCTCAACATCAAAACAACCCCAAGAAGATTAGAAATGCTCAAAACACTACAAGAAAGTGAGGATGAGACATTTATTTAGTGACATTTGAAATAAATATCTGGAAAATGCAATAGCAAGCAGGAAGCGTTCACCTTCTGAGACTACAATACAAAGCATAAAGCAACTTTGGCCCAAAATAACAAAATCCAAAAAGCAAATTTCTTGAAGGCTAATGCAAGGATCCACTTTTTCCTTTTTGATGGTTGGGATAACTAATTAAAGTGTATATATCATGTGTGGAAAAACTTCCGTAACCCACCTATCTTTTCAATAGTGAAATTACTGAAATACCATGAGAGAGAGAAGAATTGGAGCAAAAGACATATCAATCAGTTTCATTACATCTGACATTCTTAATTAAGGTTAATGTGTATATATCATGCGTAGACAAACTTCTGCAACCCCACCTTATAGTATTTGAAAGTTGTGGGTTTGGGATTCTAGTTTGCTTATGTTATTGGGTTTTAAATTAATAATTATATATATTCAATGAATTATTTAAGACAAATACAGAATTTAGATAAAAATTATTGGTTCGGCCGAACCGGCAAACCCTATATATGCTAGCTCCGCCCCTGATCCTTGACCTAATGAAATGTCGAAGGAATGTGTTAGACGAGTGTTAATCGTGGCTGCTCAGCATAAAATTGAAAAGAAGGAACTCAAGCAGTACATGATTGAAAAGAATCCACCAGACGAAGTGGAAGAGATCTCAGGAGCTGATCACATGGCCATGATGTCTAAGCCCCTTCATTTTTTTTTTACTCTTCTTCTGCGCATTTCCAATTAATGACAATCTATCATAAGTGACAGCTTAGTCTAGCTTGTGATTTAATTGCATAATCAAGAATAAAAACATATTCTGAACAATCAAAAAATTATACTCCAATATATAAGTAAAAGTTGTCAGGAAAAGAAATTGCAATGAAAGGGTTACCAGCTGGAAACGCAGAACAAGATCCCCAACCTAATTTTCTTACGTTTTGAATGCTCAATATTAATCATTTCATCAAGCCTTGACAACATAACGAGGTATTCAACTAAACTAATAATAGGAAAAGAGTCCCGAAGATAACTATATCCAGAGGTGGCTCAATGAATCTCGTGGCCTAAGGCGAAATCATATTGAAGGACCCTTAAATTTATTTAGTTTATAAATTTGTACACTAACAAAAGGTTTGCTTTCTAAACAACAAAATAATAATTTAAGACAAAAATAGTGAATTTCAAAAAAAAAAAAATATAGAAAAGAAGAGCACAAAGAATAAAGTGGTGAATTATTAGATGCTGAGGTCCGACTCAAAATGAAACTTTTGATTTGGCTATCATCACGAACAAAAAGAAGAAAGGAACGTACATAACGTATTAGTTTAAGTTTTGAACATTGATAGTGTCGAAATTATTTACACCTTCTAATCAATTTAAAGGATAATTATAGTTTATTCTATTAAGTAGCACTCATTGGTGAATATTTAAATTAAATTATAAACTAGTATAATATGTTGAACTACACCAAAAAGAAACAGGTGCATGACAGTTTCATACAAGATTGTGTTAGGACTGAAAAATCAGGTGTCATGCGGAAGCTAGCAAAGCAAGACTTGAGCGACGAGGAATTAGACAACAGAGAGAAATATACCAAAAGAGACACAAACATATAACGTGGTTCGGTCTACTGACCTACATCCACAACGGATATGAACAATCCATTATATAAAAGAGTACAAAATATCGAGAGAACAACCTCACGAAGAGGCAAACACAAGTGACACACTAACACTTGTCCCGTAAAGTTCTTCCCTTAAACACGACTCTCAAACCCTATATGGTTACATTGTGGATGCTACTGAATGAGAAGGACAAATCCACAATTTATAGAACTTCAAACCTTTTCTTACAAGAAAAGGGACTAGCCAAATATAGAAGAATTATATTTCTTCTAGGACAATAAAAACCCAATTATGGCAAATATGTTGTCATTTCCTTCATGAAATAGGAAAACCAATTATGGTAAGAAAATCTGGACAAATACCTAACAATTCTGTACCACTTGTTAGGACCGGGAAAACCAGGTTCACGTGAAAGCTCACAAAGCAAACCTTGAACAACGATAAATCACACAATAAAAGAGAAATATACCAAAAGTGACACAAATATTTAGCGTGGTTCAGTCAACTGACCTACGTCCACAAATGTAGATGAGCAATCCACTATATCAAAGAGAGTACAAAATATCCAGAGAACAACCTCACGAAGAGGCAAACACAAGCGACACACTAATACTTGTCCCGAAAAGTTCTCCCCCTAAACAAGACTCTCAAGCCCCATATGGCTACATTGTAGATGCTACTGAATGAGAAGGGCGATCCTCATTTTATTGAACTCCAAACCTTTTCCTACAAGAAATGGGACTAGCCAAATATGAAAGAATTATATTTTTCATCTAGGAAAATAAAAACCTAATTATGGTAAATATGTTGTCATTTCCTTCATGAAATAGGAAAACCAATTATGGTAAGAAAATCTGGACAAACACCTAACAATTCTGATACCACTTATTAGGACCGAAAAAAGAGTATATATGATGAAGATTGGGATTTCGAGCACCAACAAGTATGTGGATATATACGACAATGGGTTGAAGATAATGTTCGCAATCATATTGTGAACGAGACACATGCAAGATCATAGTGGCAAAAGCTAGAGACTCTTTGTGCTTTAAAAACCGGGAACAACAAGTTGTTCCTGCTAAAGCAATTGATGGACTTTAAATACAAGGAATGCAGCCCTATCCTTGATCACATAAATGATTTTTAGGGCATCCTTGATTAGCTGTCTAGAATAGGAGTTAATTTTGATGATGAGATACAAGGACTATGGCTTCTTTATACTGTGCTTGACTCTTGGGAAAATCTTCGTGTTTCTTTGACGAATTTAGATCCTGGAGGTAAGGTGACCATGGAATATTCCAAGAGTGGTGTGTTGAACGAGGAAGTAAGAAGAAAATCTCAACGTTCGTCCTTGCAAGCAGATATCTCGGTTACAGAAGACCGGGGGAGAGATAGAACAAGAGGCTCGTGGAATCGAGGTAAAAGTAGAAGTAAGTCAAGGTCCAAATACCATAATATTACATGTAACCACTGTGGCAAGAAAGGACATATCAAAAGGTTTTGCCGCAAGTTGTTGCAAGACATTAGAGAAGGAAAGAAGGTTGAACAAAACGAGAACAATGTTGATGCTATTGTTCGAGATGACCTTCTTTTTGCTTATGATGAAAACATCACCAATTTGGTATCCCATGAGACAAGCTGGATAGTAGGTTCTGGAGCTGCCTCACATGTCACACCAAGAAAAGACTTTTTTTCATCTTATACTCATGTTGATTCTGGAGTGTTAAAGATGGGCAATGCCAGTGAAGTTAAGGTGTTGGCACAGTTTGTTTGAAAACTAATAATAGTTCAACTTTAGTTCTTCAAGATGTCAAGCATGCTCCAGACTTCCCTTTCAATTTGATCTCCGCAGGAAGATTAGACGATAAAGGTTACTATAATGCCCTCTTTAATGGCCAATGAAAGCTCACCAAGGGCTCATTAGTAGTGACTCGAGGAGTCAAGTCTGGTCAATTATATGTGACATAGGGCTTATTCTTAATGACTCCATAAATCTGGTGGAAAGTGACACTTTATCAGAATTGTGGCATAGAAGATTGAGTCATATGAGCGAGAGGGAGATTACGTGTTTGGGTAAGAAAAGTTTGCTTTCTGGAGTAAAACAAGCAAGTTGAAAATGTGTATCCATTGTTTAGTTGGCAAACAAAAAAGGGTTTCCTTTCATAGCCATCCTCCCTCAAGAAAGCCCGATTTATTGGAGCTAGTACACTCTAATTTATGTGGTCCTTTTAAAGTAAAGTCAAAAGGTGGTGTACTTTACTTTGTGACATTCATTGATGATCATTCTCGTAAGCTCTAGGTGTATCCTTTGAAATCTAAAGATCAAACACTTAGCGTGTTTAAGGAATTTCAGGCCTTAGCTGAGAGACAGACGAGGAAGAAATTGAAATGTATTCCACTGCCAATGGTGGTGAATATTGTGGTCCCTTTGATAACTATTGCAAGGAAAAAGGAATTCGTCATCAGAAAACTCCACCCAAGACACCTTAGTTGAATGGTTTGGCAGAGTGGATGAATGGAACTCTAGTTGAGAGAGTTAGATGCTTGCTTTCAAAAGCTAAACTTCCATACACATTTTGGGCGGAAGCACTTAAAACTGTTGCCTATGTTATCAATTTGTCTCCTGTTGTTGCTTTGGATGGTGATGTCCCAAACGGAGTTTGGTTTGCCAAAGATGTTTCTTATGATCACTTGGGAGTTTTTGGGTGTAAAGCTTGTGTGCATATTCCTAAATATGAGAGATCAAAACTGGACGTCAAAACTAAGTAGTGCATCTTTATCGGTTATGGTCAAGATGAGTTTGGGTATGATTTTTACGATCCAGTTGACAATAAACTTATTAAAAGTCATGATGCAATATTCTTTGAAGACCAGACTATTGAAGATATTGACAAAGCTGAGAAGATAGATTCTCAGAGTAATGCGAGCTTAGTTGATAGTGATCTAGTTTCTATTGCTAAGGCACCTATTGCACATGAAGGAATCCAAGACAATGATGGAGATAGTGATCAAGATCAAAATGACCATCATGGTATAGATGTTATGGATTCTTCAGTTGATGAAGTTGTGGCTGATCAGCAACAAATTCCTGCTCAGGTAACTACTTCGAATGCTCCTGAAACCTCTCTTAGAAGATCTACAAGGGAGAAGCAGAAGTCTATGCGTTATCCTCCTGATGAGTATGTACTTTTGACTGACATGGGATAACATGAGAATTATGATGAAGCCATACCAAATACTCATAAATATCAGTGGATTGAAGCCATGGAAGATGAGATGAAGTCACTCCATGAGAATGGCACATATGAGTTAGTGAAATTGCCAAAAGGTAAGAGAGCTTTATCTAACAAATGGATATTCAGAATAAAGCAAGATAAATACCTCTGCGCCTAGATACAAGGCGAGGTTAGTTGTTAAAGGTTTTGTCCATAAGAAGGGAGTTGACTTTGATGAAATTTTCTCCCCTTTTGTGAAAATGTCTTCTATTCGTCTGGTTCTAGGCTTAGCTGCAAGTCTAGATTTAGAGGTTGAGAAGATGGATGTCAAAACTACTTTTCTTCATGGTGATTTAGATGAGGAGATTTATATGGAGCAACCTGAGGATTTTATAACTTGGGAAAAAGAAAATTACGTCTGCAAATTGAAAAAGAGCCTGTATTGATTGAAGCAAGCTCCAAGGCAATGGTATTTGAAGTTTGAATCTGTCATAAAAGAACGAGGGTACAAGAAAACTTCTTCAGACCACTATGTATTCTTCTAGAAGTTCTCTGATAATGATTTTATTATTTTATTTCTTTATGTGGATGACATGCTTATTGTTGGCAAGAATAAATCCAGAATTGCAGTTCTTAAGAAGCAGTTGAGCAAATCGTTTGCAATGAAGGACTTGGGGCCAGCAAAGAAAATCTTGGGCATTCAAATCCACCGACACAGAGATAGAAAGGAGTTATTTCTGTCTCAATAGAAATACATTGAGAAGGTACTCAAGAGGTTCAATATGACAGATGCAAAAGTGGTTAGTACTCCTCTTGCTAAACACTTCAAATTGAGTATTAGTTAGAGTCCATCTACTGATGAAGAGAAAAAGGAGATGTCTCGTATTCCTTACTTTTCTCCTGTTGGTAGCTTGATGTATGCTATGGTTTGCACTAGACCAGATATTGCACATGCCGTTGGTACTGTTAGTAGATTCCTTTCTAATCCTGGAAAAAAATATTGGGATGCAGTAAAATGGATATTAAGGTATTTGAAAGGTACTGCAGATTTGAAGTTGTGCTTTGACAATGGCAAGCCTGAACTTGTTAATTACACAGACTCTAATTTAGGAGGATATCTTGATAATTCAAGATCTACTTCTGGATATTTGGTCACTTTTGCAGGGGGAGCTGTTTCTTGGCAATCTAGACTACAGAAGTGCATAGC